GACTTAGGGGATAAACTAATGCGATCAAGACAACATTTCAATTTGTCCTTGTATAAGTTGTCCAATCTTCTACAATGATGGTATCAGTTTGTCCGTCAATCGCCGGATCCTTGTACTCTATATAACTTTCTATTACTTCATATTCGCGCAGCAGGAGACTTTGCAAATATTTGATGGCCGTGTCCACAAGCCCATCCATGAGTGTTTTGAGTGATGGTTGCTCCATGATCCTCCTTCGGAATTCTTGCCGTCGTCGTTCATAGATGTTGTCTACATTGGAAACACTTGCACTTGCAGAATAGTCATTATGAATAAGGAAAAATACTTTGCATCGACCTCGAACAGTTGCCGCTGCACAAAACAAGGTCATCACGTTGAAATTGTTGTGGCAGAATTTGACTGTTGAATAATACAATTCCGAAAAGGGTGCGAGCACTTCTCGCGGGTAAGTTCTCGTTCCACAACACCTCCGACCAAAAATATACAGTGACTCTCAAGAAGAATGTTCTCAGTCTTCCGGTGGGGCATCCAAACCTCTAACACTGAGTACTGCACTGTCAAAGATCACTTCGGATGTGAAGAAAACTGGACCCATATCATCCCATATATTTCTTCCCCACACCATGTTACTTGACGGCCATCCAGTCGTCACAAATGGTTGAACCAACACATGAAAATACAGTTTAAATATATATAAATGAAAGCTCAATAACAACTAAATAACGTACTAATACGTGTAAAGAAAAACGAATAGCTCTTCTTCAAAACCTATTGAAAACCTACTGATCTTCATTATCGGGAAGTGAAAGGCATACCAAGGCCTTCTCTCTGGCTGATTTTGGAATGTGCACTCCATTTTCTAAATGCAATGTCTTTGATATCCAGCTCCACACAACATAGTCTACATGCTGTCACTGCTGTGATGTTGTGTTGTCTTTCTTCCACGTCTTCTTCCATGCGTTCAAATATTGCACAGAAAGAAGTTTAGCAATAGGTTGTGGCACCCAATATTCAATAAGAATATGATTGAAAGTTGACGACTTCATATCGTTGTCTATATCGGAAATGACTCTACCCATCCATACAGGAACTCCCTCATCGATATCATCCTGGGAAGGACGCAAGAGAACGAATTGGCCTTTTTCAACATCCACAACTGGGTTGAGCTCCGCCTTTGGACGCTCATTGGTCGGTCCAACGAACAACGGCTCCTTATTCTCATTGCTCTTCAAGAGGAAGGCAATATCAATATCATCTAGATCATCCTTCTTAATTTTGTCTTGTGAGAGCCAGAAGCCAGCCTTGAGTGAAGCTTTTGCAAACCCAGACCTGTAATGCTCCTCGACTGTCTCGAGAAAGTTTTCCAGTGTGAAAGAGCACTCTCATTTGAGAAGCTAACCTCATCTTTCATTCCCAACCACTCATGCCGCTTGTTCTCCAACCACCCAACAAACGTCTTCACACCTTCAATTCCCGATTCGAAATCCGAATTCCTATCTTTAGTAGGCAGAGAAGCTGACGGCGGAACAAGTGATGGCACGAATGGTCATTCAGGTCCAGCATATGCTTTGTTTTCATCTCGTTTAAAGCAATATACTGGAGCAGACCATTCAGGAGAAGTGCAATACTCTTTCCATCGGAACACAAGATTGTCATCCTGCATATAAAACCTAAATGCATGTGGACGAGTATGACCGGTCAGTCTCTTGACCAGGAAGGGCTTAACAGCAGCTCGCCAATCAACAATTTCATCCATGAATGTGCACGATGGACGTTCTTTTTGAGAACTGACAACGAGCTTGAAGAGGTTGAGCATGGTATATGCATTGTGCATTTTCAGTTTGCGAGAGAAATGACTGAAAGTGGCATCAACGTCCGTATGTGTATGTCCCACTAACATAAAACCGAGTTCGACTTCTTTGAAGAAACCAAATTTCACCAAAGCTGCAGCGAGTGCCAAAACGTATCTGTTTTTGTTTTCTCTCCAACAGTTGTCAGCTTGTATCCTCAGTTTAGTAGGCAAGTTGCTCGTCGCCTGGATGTCGCGGAGAACTTTCATAATGGATGACACTACAGCATTAGAATCATGTGGATAGCAAGGGTACCATGTGTGAACATGGACCGATGGTGAGCGGCCGTGTGCAATAATACCTGTTAGATTCGTTTTCAACATTAGAATATTTGCGAATGCCTTCGATTTGTTCTCTCCGCCAAAGTGTGGAATGTTGGTCTTGCTTTGGTCCATGCCGTCAATGATGATGCACAAACTGTTGGAACCCGGTCTCTTCGACTCATCCTTCCACACCTCATACGCAGCACGATGTTGCGGAATTGATAGATTCTTTGTATTCAACACATTTCTCGCGTAACGAAACAAAGTACTCACGCACACGCACAAACTTTGCGGAATTGATAGATTCTTTGTATTCAACACATTTCTCAAATTTCGCAAAGTTTTGATCAATGTTATGGAATTTCGCAAAGTTTTGGTCAATGTTATGGAATTTCACATGCCAAAACTGCGTTCTCCACATGTTGTAAAAAACTTGGAGAAAAACACAAGGAGCACCCGTGTTGTCGAATTGCGACTTTAGCAACTTATAAATATCAACCTTGTTATAGCAAGAAGGCAATCTCAACACCACTCTTGATTCCCTATTTTTGGTCTTCATGTCATTGGGCATGGAATCCCCGTTGTCTCGCACGAAGGAGCTTAGTTTCCCGTACATCGTCGCATATGTTGCTGATGTGCGTCTAAGTCCAGTACTGCCATGCTCCGGCATATTGTAGCCTTTTGACAAAGTCATCCTTTTTTTGAGAAATGTATTCCTACATACACCTAGTGTGAAACACCAAGCAGTAATGCACACCTTTCGTCTCACCACAATAGGTTGAACAATCTCTTTTTCATCTTCTATGAAGGTGAACCTCTTCAACGTTTCAACCCACCATGCATCCCTGCTCTGCTGGTTCTTAGAGTAGTATGCGCTCCGGACAACTTTGATGTCGTCCAGGGTCATTTGAGCGCAACACTCTCGCTTATAGCAAACCTGCCCACGCACACTTGCCAGTGCTGTTTTGGTGAGTTTTCTATGAACTGATTGCAAAATCTTCTTTGACCGGGGCATTCTGAGACGAAAAGTATAAGGACGCTTCTCTGAGGACAGACGTTTTGGAAAAATGTCATCGAAATCAGAGATCACGTCACAATTCTCATCGTCATTTCAACAACAGTGGTCACTGTTCCGGTCAGCGTACGTTTGCGGAAGATCGGTTTTATCTAGAGAACTATCAGCACTAGACGACACCGAAGCACTTGAATGTGAACCACCTTCATCACCCTCACCAAACAGAAGACCTGTGTACTCGAAATCTCGAAGTGAACTCCTCGGCACCCATACAACACGATCTACATCGGATGCGTCGTTGTCAGTAGAGGAGGCCTTACCCTCCTGACCTTGAGCACTCTCTGCATCACAGGTTCGAACCGGGCATCGAAGGACGGGATACGCACTTTCACATGTAGTGTCCGCACACGCAATATTTCGTGACCTCTTATGAGCAGGAGATTCCGGAGCATTATCGACATGATCATGACCACTTCGAACATCTTGTGAACACATTGGCAGGTGCGGTGGAGGAAAATCCTCATTGAGAATTGTATTAGACGCCACACAATCCATGCTTTCCAAGGTTGTGCTGCAAGCCTGCCGTAGCATAGCATGCACACCACAAGCCATGCACGAGACGTGTCTGCGACAATAAAACAGCAGACCACTGTCAAAAGGCGAAAATCAGTGGTCAATGAAATGGAGCAGACAACCATCCCTACACAACAGCGAGAAACACAACCCTACAAATGACCCTGAGAAACACAGCCCTTCACTGGACGGAGGGGAACAGGAAACATCCGAGAGAGGATAACACACGACCGTGGAATCTGGGCAGCAATCCTGTCATCGGGTTCAATCCGTGGCAAAGGCGCAATACACGCAAAAGAGTCTGTCCAAGTCGGAGATCGATCGACAGTGGGAAGCGTAGCACATGTCGAGTCGGGGCACCAGCAACCGGAAACACAGCGTGCAACAACATTGAAAAGGCGGAGTTTTTGACGCGCAACAGGAAACGCAGCACATGTCACGTCGGGCACCAGCTTCGGAAAGGCATAGACCACGGCGCGCAAAACCCAGCGGGCACCAACAGCGGAACCACGAAGACTCTGGCACGTAGCACACAGCTTGGCACAAGGGCATTGATAGGAAAGATTCTATATTACTCCAGTAACTACAGCGACTGGACACCTGTGGTAAGCGTGGTAATCACCACCCACGCAGAGCGGGCAGGAAAACTGCCACGAGTGAGCAGGAATACCATCGTGGCAACGCGACCGTACCATCGGGGCGAAGCGACCGCCTCGCCCAACACGGAAGGGTCCCCCATCTTGATTCCCGGCACGCGTGGCACTCACCACCCACGCAGAGCGGGCAGGAAAACTGCCACGAGTGAGCAGGAATACCATCGTGGCAACGCGACCGTACCATCGGGGCGAAGCGACCGCCTCGCCCAACACGGAAGGGTCCCCCGTCTTGATTCCCGGCACGCGTGGCACTCACCACCCACGCAGAGCGGGCAGGAAAACTGCCACGAGTGAGCAGGAAAACCATCGTGGCAACGCGACCGCCTCGCCCAACACGGAAGGGTCCCCCGTCTTGATTCCCGGGTACCAGACTCCGAGGATTCGAAGCAAAATTCGCGCAGAGTTCGTTCTACGGCGCATGACGGGTTTCTAGATAACAAGGTTGAGAAGGCAAATGACTGCGGCGACGCCAATGCCACGCCCAACACGACAGGAGCTCCATTGTATATTACAAGGTGGGGGTCGTGGCGCAATCTCGCAACAAGCAATCAGTGCTACAACAGACAAAAGGCAGTCACTCGGGCACTGTGTTCTGCTAGCGCGACTCGCACTAAACTGTGCGCAAGTCGAAACATAGGTGGGGGTCGAGGCGAAAAAGAGCATGGTGTTCGACACGACCGTGATGCCGTTCGACACGACCAAGACCGCGTTTGACTGTGGCGGACACGGCGACCAGCGTGCTCGACATGACGGCCACCGTGTCAGACCCGACGACCATCGTGCCGGACACGACGACCGTGTCGGACAAGAAGATGGACGTGCTCGATACGATGGCGGTCGTGTGCGACACGACGACGGCCGTGTTCGACACAATGGCGATCATGTTCGACCCGACGACGATCGTGTTCGACACGACAACCAGCGTGTTCGACACGACAAGGATCGTGTTCGACACAATGACCATCATGTTCGACACGACGATGACCGTGTCGGACACAACGACGATCGTGTTCGACACGACGACCGCCGTGTTCGACACGACAACGATCGTGTTCAACACGACGACCATCGTGTTTGACACGATGACCAGCGTGTCGGACACGACAACGATCGTGTTCAACACGACGAC